ACAACATATGTCAGTGTATGTAGGCCACGAGAGGAAAAGTCAGGGACAGTCACCTCCTTGCTGAGCCTCGCTTGTATTCTTCATTTGTTGGAAATATTACTTTTCAGACAGCAACACTTTCTGCACAATAGAAATCTTTTCCCTATTTTTGGCTCTCCCGGGCACATCATTTGTCCTGACAAGTGATTCTTTTTATCTTGGTAAATTGTCCATTTTTAAAAACATTTGGGCAGCTTAAAGAATTCATAGTCCAGAAATGAAAGCTACAGAGGATTACTTGTGCTGTTCTGCTTCAGAAGAAATGAGGTGGTCGTACTTGGAGAGAGGAAACGCTCAGGCCTCTCTTCTACTCCAGATGTCTAATTCTTCTAAGGGTTTTTCTAATATTAAAGATACAAAGGATTATAAGGATTTTTATAATGCTGAGAATGAAGCATCAGTTCCTGCCCCTTTTCCCTCTAATCCAAGAAAAGGCTATGATGGTCTTTTCTGCTTTTTTCCTTTCAAAAGATGGGCTGATGTTGAAAGTGGCCCTGTAATCCATTCTATATCAACAGCGAGTGGCCTCTAAGTGGCTTTGGTGCCCACTGTACTGTTACTGTTTCCCCGGTTCCTTGGCTGTTGTTTCAGCTCTGCTTTTGTTAGTTAGTTTGTTTGTTTTGGCCATGCCAGGAGGCACATGGGATTGTAGCTCCCCAACCAGGGGTGGAACCCACATCCCTGGCAGTGGATGCTTGGAGTCTTAACCCGTAGACTGCCAGGGAGGTTCTAGTGTTGCGTGTTTTAAATATAAGATGTTTCCAGTTCTGTTGTATCTTTGAGTGCTCTAAGAAAAATATTCCTTTGAAAGAATACTGGTTTAGATGTAGCCGATCAACAATCCCACAACTGAGAATGTTTGCCCTTGGCAGGTATAGGTAGCTGGAATGTATGTTCACCTCAGCGGTCATTTAAAAATGGCAGAAGTTTTATATGGAGTTTAACCTGATGGAATTGCTGATACTCAACCATTTTTAACTTTAAAATTGGCAATTTCATCTCATTCAACCTAAGAGCTTATAGATGGCAAGGCTTAAACAGCACTGTCAAGATTCCCTAAAAAGGAGAAATGGAGGTAGTTTCCATTCTTTCAGAGGGACGAGGCTAGAGAGCTGTTTCTGATGTAAATGTAATTATTTTAATGGAGGCAATACTTTTTTTTAATACCTTGCCTCACAGCCTTGCCTTGCTCCTTCAGTTTGCTCATGCCCCAGCCCTGCTGAAAGAATGTGGACCAGGTTGTACGCGTTGAGTCATGAGTCATGTGGCAACTTTTTTTTTTTAAACATTTATTTTAACACCAAAAACATTTTGAATTGGGGTATAGCTGATTAACAATGTTGTGGTAGTTTCAGGTACACAGCAAAGGGACTCAGCCATACGTATACATGTCCATCCTCCCCCAAACTCCCTCCCATCCGGACTGGCACATAACATTGAGCAGGGTGCCATGTGCCATATAATAGGTCTTTGTTGGCTATCCATTTTAAATATAGCCACACCCACCCACCCCCAGCAAAGCATAAGTTCTTTTTCTAAGTCTATGAGTGTCTTTCTGTTTTACCAGTTCATCTCATTTGTATCTTTTCTTTTCAGATTCCACATCAGATCCACATGCCACGTCTTCACGTGGCAACTTCTGTTCCCCTTCCCTCTCTCCCTCCCTCCAACACTTCTTAAGTTTTATTATGCGTGGAGTCAGTTGACAGGAGCTGATAATCCCAGGACAGGCGTCCAGGGACCCTGCCTCCAGTCCCATCCAGTTCCCATTGTCCCCGCGATGGTCACTGACCCGTCACCTTCTGTTTCCCTGTTAGTGCAGGTCCCCACTGAGGTTCGTGCACAGCTCTTGGTGGGCCCATTGACCACTGCCGGCAGCTGGGCATCAGTTTTCTGGAGGAGGGGTTACTGTCTTCCATCTGGATCCCTGATCCTCGACTTCCCCACAGTCTTCCACACCCTGTGGATACCATTTACAGCCTTGTTGTGGAAACCTGGAGTCAGTCCTGGTTCCTCATCTGGACTCACCCACCCCATGATGTGGAACTTTTCTAAGTCACTGAACTGTGTTTCTTCATCTCTGAAGCTAGATGGTTGAATATTTTAGTCTTAGGATTATGTGCCTCAGTGCTGTTTAAGGTTGCCCTTTTCTTCCTAAAATCTGAGCAACTGTGTTACACATAGTTTATACACAGTTATTTCACAGGGTGGATCATCATGGCCTCCATCCCAGGATGGAGTACACACAACCATTTGATCATGAGGAAATATAGATGCTTGCTTCCTACCTGGTTCATCTGCCTGAGGTCCTTTCACTGCACCAGCTCTGATTGAGTGTGTAAGTGTGATTTTGAGTTTCCCCAACAGAAACCACATCATCTCATCAGCCATGTAAGAAAATGACAGCCAACTGTGAAAGCATGCTTGCCAAGTTTTCAACATCACTGCATTTGAGGGGAGAACACATTTGTACAAGATGAAGTTGCGGCTGGATGGAGCCCAAAAGACACGTTCTGGGTACCTGTCTTCTCTAAGCTGCAACATATGGGAAGTGTGCTTATGCCAGTGAAGGCAGGGTTCCAGAAATCTCTTTGCTCCTTGAAGCCACATCACCGGTCTAGAGATGGAGAGAGGGGACCACAAAATGTGGCATGCTGCATTCTTAGAAATGACCAGATAACTAGTAAAGAATAAGAGTTGCTAAGGTGCATTTGGTGTTGCTTCACTAAATATACCTGGTAACATTTACTGCCATTGTCTGCAGGTTTTTTTTTTTCAGCAGAGATTACTCAGGCTCAGAGAAACAAACTAGCTAGCTAATTAGTGGTCATGATTCAGAATTGACCTGTCTTACTTCCTTGCCCATGGTCTCTCTCTTTACCTTCAACTGATTTCAGATGTGAGCAACCAGATTGAAACATTGGTGAGAAAAGGAGAAAGAGGTCCCACACCTCTCTCACCCCCGGGTTTCTCTGGTTTGGTAGAAAGAGCAGTGGAGTTGGAAACTTCTGTATGACTTCAGTTAACTTAAAAAAAAAAAAAAAAAGGCCTCTAAAGATTTCAGATCCCTTGAGAAGAATCAAAAAGGAGAATTATGCCTAATAAGAAAAAGGTATATACCAGTAAAAAAAAAAAAAGGCCAAAAGAGTTGAACAGGCACTCCCCATATGGTCAATGAGCATGTGAAAAGATGCTCAACATCTCGGCTTGTTAGGAAAATGTAAATCTGAACCACAGCAGAAATCATGGCATACCCACCAGAATTGCCCTGATGAGAAAGACCACAGCATCAGGGGTTGGCGAGGATCTGAAGCCATTTGGTCTTGCAGTCACCGCTGGTGGGAGTGTCGGTAGTAAAACTGTTTGGGAAAGCGGTTTGATAATTGCAGATACCACTGAACCACTTGCATTCCATATGACCACCGCTAAGACTGTGACCAACAGGAGTCCCTACATAACGTTTATAGGAAATGCATTGGAAACGTATAGAAAAAACGCTCATAGCAACACAGCGCCTAAGGGCCAAAACGCAGAACCTAGCCAGATGTACCATAACCAGAGACTGAACAGACCAGTGGAATGTTCAGCTCTGGGACCGAGCCAGCTACTGCTGCACAGGGTTCCCGGGGCGGACCTCACGCACGAGGCAGAGCAGTGACGGACGCAGAAGGTTCGTGCTGCGTGACGCTGTCTGCATGAAGTTCGGAAATGGGAAGCACTGAGCCAGGCTGTTAGAAGTCAGGCTAACACCAGCCTTCCACAGGGCATGTGGGGGTGGTGGGAGGGAGCAGTGGGGGCTACTGGGCCCCGCGATGTTCTGTTTCTTCATCTGGGTGGTCGTTGCCGTGTGTTGAGATGCTGAGAATTCACATGTTGTTCACTTCCAATGTATGTGTTTTTCTATATGTATATTCTCCTTTGATACTAAGTTTAAGTTTTAAAGTCCTATATATATACAGATGTTAGTTCTTAATTTTTGATTCCCAGTGTGGAAATATAAATTTAAATCAGCCAAGATTTGCATATGCATGAAATAGGAATTTTGCGGCACATTGTGACCCGTATTGTGGGAGAAATGTTCTTTTTTTTTTTCTCGATAATGCTTCATTGGCTTCTCAATGTGTCTGAACCTGACAGGGCAAGGAAGGAAGGAAGGAAAAAGTGAATTTCATCAACAGCAGCAATTATTGTTGCTGAGCATTCATTCGGCCAAAGCCACATGAGCAGGTCAGGTTTGCACCAGATTAGAGAGTTCTTACTTGTCTTGGAGTCTATTAGAAAACTTACCTTTTTGCTATGATTTTTTTCCTTCGGAGAACAGGAGCTTAAGAGTAATACCTGTGAAGTTGTAAGACCTGGCTACAACAAATTCTAAACATTTATTCTTTAGGAAACAAGGTGAAAGGCTGAAAGAGAAGTCCTCTTTTCACAAAGGCAGTCTGCATTTGCAGTAGTAGCTGAGAAAAGTCCACGTGGAAAGTTGAAAGAACCACAGCAATGATCTGAAAACTCTCTTACAAACTATGCAGGTAGTGTGCTTGTTGAGTTTTCAAATTTCATCTCAACACAAAAATAATTCTAGTTTAAGAAGAGGACTAAAGAAGAACAAACTTGCGTTTTAAGAAAGGAAACTTATGAGCTACCATCTGGCAAAGGGTCCACTCTGTATCTGGGACCGAACATTGAGACTCAAGTCCATCCTTCCTCTGAGGCGCCTCCTCCTGCCTCCTGTGTGAGCCTGGCGGAGCCTCACCTGGTCTGAAGTCATACATTTGTTTAGTGGCCAAGCAAGGCAGGACTTAACAACTTGAAACGTCTAACCTCTTTCTCTTCCCACCCCCACCCCACCCCCCCACCCCCCCCACCCCCCCCCGTGATAGAGATTCCAAATAATAGATTAATAATGACCCAAAGATCCTAAGTGTGATAGTAATCCGTCTCTTATAAAATATGTATTTCAGCTTGCGACCCTTGAATTCCCTCCAAAGAAACTGTTTGGAAACAAGGATGAACGTGTGATTGCTGAGAGGCGAAGTCAATTAGAGGTAACAGAATCAAGCTTTTCTTTCTGTGTGTGCAGAAAATTTGCCATCTGATTGACCAGTGAGAAGTCGTCCCCTTAAACACTTAACGGTTCACAGCTGTGAAGGTGCTGCCAATCGTTAACGCAGGAGATGGCAGTAGCAGATTGTAAAGTAATGAGATCAGTTTATTTAAAATATAAGGCCTTCCCCTCACCCCCTCTCCACTCTAACAGAGTGTTTTCCTGGGTTTTGAGGAGATACGTTTATTCCAAGGGTTAGGAAGCAGGTTGTGGGTGAGAACTGAATATTCACGTAGACAGATGGTACGCAATGCAGGATGGGGGTACAAAGCTTGCTGCCAAAAACTTGAATTAATTAACTGAAGATTTGTAGTGTTGCATTGCTGTTGCTTTTTCAAGATGGCTGGAAGCAAAAAGACACATACCTATTTTAGTCACGTTAGGTTTTGTTTGACTTACTTTAACTTCGTCTTCTGAGCCAGCTACATGGAAAACTTTGGTTCAACACAACTGTTGTTTTTCTGACTGCCTCTCTGCCAGCATGCATTGTTGACTGCTTTATATAGCTCGTTTTTCTTTGTAGGATAGAGCTGCTTATTTCATTGGCATCTGATGTTACTGAGACAGGGTGTCTGTGCTAGGGCATGATCGCAGGTGGCCTTCAATTGTGGGCAGCTCTCTCGCCATTCTGAGCCACTGAGGCTGGCAGATAAAATTACAGTAGCTCACTGCAGTCAACAAGCTTCCTAGGGGCCTTGCAGAGCCCCCTCTGCCATTCCTCTAAGAGGAATAAAAAAAAAATACGACCTTTTGCAAATGAAATGAAATAAGAGGAGGCCTGAGCTAGCCCTTTCTGAATTGTGAAATTCTGCATAAAACTTCAGTATTGTTCTCATTCAGTTGCGAGAGGCACAGTTTTAAATGTCTGCCCGTGGAGCGCAGTGAACCAAGGGGAATGTCCAGAGGCTGGAGGTTCCAGTGAGAGCCAAAATGGGGAGTGGAGACCGTGGAGAAATTGGAGGCCAGGAGGTTATGGCCCATGAGGAGGTGGGGCATTCTAGGGTTTTAAGATCCTCGGTGTAGACCTAAGGAAAGATGAGTTTCAGGGTGTGGCCATGCTTACAGACCTGTGAGTTAAACTGTAGAATTAAACTGTGTTTGAAAAGATCCGGAAACCATTACGACTGAGGTTTGGATGGATCATTGCAGAGCTCTAAAAATCATCCTATGCGATGGCCTGACTCTGATACCCGACTGAAGAGTTTATTACATTCAAAGCAGAGAGTATCATGGTGAGCCTGCTTAGCCAAGTTCTTGTAAAAGTTTAATGGTGTCATACAAACAGTTTAAAGCTCACAGCAGAACTAGTGATGGTTTTCTTTACCAAACCCTTACCCACCTCAGTTATCTGGACTCGTCTTTCATTAAAACCTGTGCAGAATGACAGTGTATGAAAACGAGTCTGTAAACCAACAGGAAATAGCTGTTGTCATCTCAGCTTACTCAGAGCTCTGGTTAAATGCAGAAGGTGCCAGCCGTACCACAACAGAGTAGGCGTTTGTGTGCCCAGCGCTCGGGGTCTCTTGCTTTCCACTCTAGCTTCCAGGGTCAGAGCGAAGTTCGGGGCACCCTTTCATTCTTGGTACTTTCAGGTGGAACCTGTATTTGTTCTTCCAGGATCTCTGCTTAACCATGTAGCCCTACTGAGCCATCAGCTGTTGAGCATCAGTATTAACATCTCTGCATTGAGCAGAGTTCAGTGTTAACATCTCTGCTGATACAAGCACGTGATGGTGGTTTACCTGTAGTGATAGTCCATATGGAGTGAATTCTACACTTCGGAGGAAAACAGGGGCTTATATTTTAAATTAAGTATATTTAATCTCATGTTGACTGTTAAGTCTTAGAATATTATGTTCTTGTCAAGGAGAGAGTATAATTCAGCTTCACTTTAATGGAAAGTTAACGTGAGATTCTTGGGTTAATTTCACGCATCTATTATGTGATTTTTTTTTTCCAGTCTAACACCAAGAGTCACTGACTTAGTGGGTTTTCATGTGAAAATTAACATTTATTTTCCCTTGAATTTCCTATGTGATTTAATTCAGTCTGCATTTACTTAGTTCCTGGTACATACTGGGGATAGTTTTAGGTGTTACATGGAATATCAAGGTGAATGAGCCATCTCATTCCCTCTAAGAGCACATGTTTACATTGGTGTATGAAACTTTACCTGGAGGTATAATTAAATACATAAGCACATGCAGAAAGATGGATTACAGTAGCACACATTTGTACTGGCACAACATAACATAACATAACGTAAAGAGTATTTGCACAAGAGGAATCATCTGCCGATTTCTAAAATTCAGAAATACAGTTTTACAAACCTCTTCAGGCCAGTGGAGCTGCACAGAGCAACTCTATGGATGCTTATGGCTTCTTCCATAAGCAAGCATCCGATTGCATTCCGATCTTCCTTGCTGTTAAAATAGCTCCAAGATTGGGACCTCGTGTTTGACTTTATCAGCAAAAAAATGTGAAATGTTTTCACATGAAAGACATGACACCTACTTTATAACTTTTTTTTTTTAATGTTGCTCAATCATGTCTGGCTGTTTACGACCCCATGGATTATGGAATTCTCCAGGCAAGAATACTGGAGTGGGTAGCCTATCCCTTCTCCAGTGGATCTTCCAGACCCAGGAATTGAACCAGGGTCTCCTGCATTGCAGGCAGACTCTTTACCAACTGAACTATCAGAGAAGCCCTACTTGTAAAAATGTTAAAATAATTATTGTAAAGATGATGGGTAGCAACAGAAATTTCTGCCTGTCATGAGATGTTCTACAGATTAATTTTCTCACCATGGAGAAAGGAACATTAGTGGTGTGTGTGGCGGTAGCTGTGAGGGTCAGGGTGTGTAGCACCAGAAGAAGGCAGGAGTGAGTCAGGATGTGGTGATGCCACGTGGAGAAGTGTAAATTTGTCCTCCAGAACTCACTCTTATTGACAGACTTGTGTGGGATCCGCCCATCCAGAGTTATGGAGCCCGCTCTGGTTTACACCTGGAGAATCTGACCTGTTACTGCTCTGCATCTTGTGCTCAGACGCCACGCAGCACTTCTGCTCCAAAAGAGCCGTGGTCTCTGGAGGTTTCTCACGTGGGCGGATCTCCCTGTTGCTGCCTCTGTGACCCCACTGAAACTGGTCAGTGTAAATGTGCATGTCGTTGACAGAGTCTGCCATCGGGCAGCCGGAGGGTTCTGACAGCAACTCACCCTGTGTGACACGCTTCCCAGCTCCCCCAGCCCTTGTAGTAACGCAGACTGCTGCCCAGCAGAGAGGTGGAGGTACCAGGAAATGGCCACATCAGTCTCTATCTGATGCGTTTATCTGGAGCGGAAAGGTGCTTGTCATCAACACTCTACTTAAAGGCAGATACCATTACCATTGGGTCGAACCTGCCACTGTTGTAGGTCAAAAGTGGTGGAGTGTTGGCAGTTCCCAGGCTTTCACGGTGTGCTCCAGCTGCCTCCCATTCGCTGTGTGTTTATTACTAAGTGCCAGGCCTGAGTGAAGGGCCTGGTACCTCATGCCATGTACTCCTCCAGCCAGCTTTTGAGGGCTTCTATTATTGTCCCCATTTTACAGGTGAAAAAATTAAGTCTTGGGGAGGATGAAGAAGGTTGTGTAGCCAGTGAGTGGCAAGGCCTCAGTCTGTAGGGCAGGCGCCTCCTCTTAACCCTCACACACTCTGAGTCTGAGGTGAGCTGGGTCTGCTGCACACTTTGTTTTGAAATGTCTGTGAGACTTCACTTCCACCTCTTTTAAGACCCTTATTACTCTCTTGCTTGTATCAAAAGATATGTTTATGTCTCAAATTTCCCCTGTTGTACTCCTCAGTTATTTGAAGACAGCAGAATCGACGTCTAATGGAATTCTCAGTCTCCCATGATATTTTACACATGCCTCACCTTCACTGATTTCTCAGAAAATCTGCCTATATTATCTCTAGTAGATGAGTTTTTATTTTGTTTTTGTTGATTGATGAGAGTTGCATTTTGGGTCACTAATTTCAGAAAATGTTATCATCTACTTGAAATATTTCTGCTAATCATCTTATAGTCTGTCATTTCAAGGAGTAACTGTAATTAATGCAAACAGGGGGAATCCTCTAAAATAATAAAGTTTTCAAAAATAAAACCACCACCTTTGGAGATAGGAACCTGAGAAATTTCTTGGGCGTTTTCTTGAAAGTACTAGAGCAGTCAGGCTTCCCAGGCGGCTCAGTAGTAAAGAATCCACCTGCCAAGCAGGAGACTCAGGTTTGATCCCTGATGTGGGAAGATCTCCTGGAGAAGGAGTTGGTGACTCACTCCAGTGCTCTTGCCTGGGAAATCCCATGGATGGAGGAATCTGGTGGGCGATAGTCCATGGGGTTTAATCCATAAAATGGAAACACTAATAATACCCACTTCATAGAGTGGTTGTGAAGGTTAAATGAGAACACATGTGAAATCCTTGGATAGATAACACAGCAGACCCTAGAAATTCTTCTGTTAAAAATTGCTACATTCCAGTTGTCATATGAGTTACAGTTTACTTTTAAAATTAAACAGAGTTCTAATTAATGCAATAAGATAAGGATATAAAAGATTATTCGGATTCAGGAGGGAGAAATAAAACTCTTACTCACAAATGACATGATTGTCTCTATAGAAAATCCAAAATAATTGACAAGAAATCTCCTGAAACTGATAAGCAATTATGTCAAGATCGCAGGATACAAGAACAATCACTTTGCTGTATAGCAGCAATGAAACATTGGAATTGAACTTAAGAACACAATAGGATGTACATTAGGACCCCAAATTAAATACTTAGGTAAAATTTTAATAGAATATGTATCAGATCTATATGAAGAGAACTATAAAAAGTCTGATGAAAGAAATCAAAGAACTGAAACCAATGAAGATATAGTCCATGTTTATGGATAGG